GGCGCCGGCTGAGTTCCCCCGGCCGCCTGGGGAGGTGGCAGCTTGCGGGCGGCCAGTGCTGCAGGAGGGAGGCCCCGGAGCACACCCGCTGCCTCTGCCCGCTGGGCGACGCTGCTCGGAGCGAGCGATCGCCCTGGACTCCAGGAGAGGGACGCCTTTCTGTCCGGGCTTGGATTTACGATGATTAAACGCCTCCAAGCTGCCGCTATTCTTCAAAAGCCTCGGGTGGCTTCAGTAACGCATTTTGGTTGTGAAAGCCCAAAGGAAAAGGAGCAACTCCACGCCTAAAGAAGACTATTTTCCACCGAGATTTGCCACAGCGGGTTGTTGGAAGGGAGAATTGTTGTCCCTTATTGGACCTTATCGTGTCATCGCTGAAGACACAAAATCTGAGTATAAAAGTTTTTTCAGTTGACCAATAAGCCAGGTAGCTTGGTCTAGTGCTTCTTATATTAACCCTCTCCAAGGGTTTCTATTTAGCTGATCTGCTGAATCAAAACACCGTACAGGCACTAGGTCCTCTCTCAGGTTCCCCACCCTATCTCACGTCTTATCTCTTTCATTCATTAAGCATTCATTGAGCACCTGATAGCCTGCCTGTCCCTTCTCTCAGGCAACCAGATGTTATCCCCATCATAAAGATAAGGGGCTCATCTCAGCACCTAACAGGTGGTATAAGCTCAATAGTAGCTATTTATAATTAAGGATCTACAAGTTTTCACTCATTTACCACTAGTTCCTCTTTGCCAATACATTACTTAATCTCTTAGTCTTTTTAAAAAAATTATTTTTTTAATTGCACATTTTTATGGGGGTACAGTTTGCTGTTTGAATACATTGCATATATTGTATAATGATCCTATCCAAATAGTGAGCATATCTATCACCTAAATATTTATCATTTCTTAGGTTTCTTTATAGGAGAAGATGAAGATACGGGTTTCAGCCTTGGACCCTTGGAAAACTTACTTCATCTCTCTGAAACTCATGGTTGTCAAGAATAAAATGGAGACCACGGTATCTACTCTGTGTTCTTTCAGCATTGCTGTGAAGCACAGCAAAGATAATAATGTTCATAAAAGCACTTGAATGTCCCTGTACATATAAGGAGAGCTCTTCCGTCAGCTTTGTCACTGCCTGCTGATGCCTCTTCTCCCTACTCCTTTTCCAGAGTCCCAAGCATCTCTGTCCTAGTGGTCTTCATTTCTGATGAAGTAGGAGGGATATCAGAGCAAAAGGCTAATGGGAGGGATCCTACAATAGTCTTTCACTAAACCCAACTCTGGATAAAACCATAGATAGTTGAAATTCTGACCCCCAATGTTGCAGATGGACATGTGCAATCTCACGTCCCCCTTTGTGCAATCTCATGTCCTTTGTCTTACGAATACACCTCATGTTATTGTGCTGCTGAAATAGTTCCTTCCTGCATCATTTCGTGTTTCTTATTCCTTTAATTCCAGTCTGTTAATCTGAGAAATTTTTCTGGGAGATAACATTTGGATCATTGTTATCGAATCTATGCTTAATCGCTAGAAATTTCGGAAGAGGTGAAGGGCAAGATGGAGGCCAGTTGTATTAGTTAATATTTTTGTTTATGAACTACAGAAAGCAAAGATGATTAACTTATCCAAAAGGGAATTTAGTGACAAAGTTGGGAGCTCATAGAATCAGGGGGGGACCAGGTGTGGAAATGAATAGAAAGGGCAAATATTAGTTGATCAAAACCAAAAATAAATAAATAAATAAATAAAAAATAAAAACAAAACAAGCAGAAACCAAAACAAAATAGCCATTTCGTGGAGAAACTATTTTTAAAATACCTTAAATTTTTAGCTTTTGCAGGGATATTTCTTTCTTTCTCTCTCTCTCTCTCTCTCTTTTTTTTTTTTTTTGCAATACAACTCCATATTTATTTATTTATTTTTAAATTGAAGCAGATAAAATAGTTTGTAGAAGCCCAGGTAATCTCTGGCAGATTCTATTTATTTATCTAAAAATCTTTTTGTATTTATTTTCTATTTTTAATAGTCACCACTTACAAAATAGTTGGAGGTTTAAGATAGGCAGAGGTATTTCTAATTCAAACCCAGATCATGCTGCTGCTGTGGGATGAGTGGTAGAAATTCCAATTTCTCCATTCCTTCTCTTCGAACAGCCAATTTGGGAAACGAATTTTAAAATTACCAGATAAGATGCATAAGAGAAGAATTACCAGATAAGATGAATAAGAGAAGAATTTCTTAAAACAAAGCTAAAAACTGGAAAATGGCATTGGGGAGGGTGAAGAAATCCTTATGACCAGGGAAAAAAAGAATACTGGCTTCTACAAGAGTATATGGAATATAAGGACTATGATCTCTCTCTCTCTCTCTCTCTCTCTCTCTCTCTCTCTCTCTCTCTCTCTCTCTTTTTT